TTGTAGTATAATTTGAAGTCAGGCAGAGTTGTGTCTCTGGCTTTGTTTTTTTTTTTTTGTTTTTTTTTGCTCTGGATTGCTTTGGCTTTTTGGGGTCTTTTGTTTTTCCATATGAAAGGTAAAATTGTTTTTTTTTTCCATTTCTGTGAGGAATGTCATGGTATTTTGATGGGGATTGCATTGAGTCTATAGATGGCTTTGGGTAGGATAGACATTTTCACAATGTTAATTCTTCCAATCCAAGAGCATGGAATATCTTTCCATCTTTTTGTGTCTTCTTTAATTTCTTTCAGAAGTGGTTTGTAATTCTCATTGTAGAGGTCTTTCACCTCCTTGGTTAAATTGATCCCTAGGTATCATATTTTTTTGGTGACAGTTGTAAATGGGCTTACTTTCATTATTTCTCTTTCTGTTAATTCATTATTCGAGTATATAAATGCTACTGATTTGGGGGCATTTATTTTGTGTCCTGCAACATTACTGAAGTTATTAGCCAGCTCTAGGAGTTTTTTGATAGAGTCTTTAGGTTTTTCTATATGTAGTATCATGTCATCTGCAAATAGGGAGAGTTTGACTTCATCTTTTCCAGTCTGGATTCCCTTTATTTCTTTCTCTTGCCTGATTGGTCTAGCTAGTACCTCCAGTACTATGTTGAATAGGAGTGGTGAGAGTGGACATCTTTGTCTTGTTTCTGTCCTTAAGGGGAAGGCCTCAATTTTTCTCCACTCAGAATAATACTGGTGTGGTGGTCTTGTCATAAATGGCTTTTATTGTGTTAAGATATTTTCTTTCTATACTTAATTTGTTGAGAGTCTTTATCATGAAGGAATGTTGAATTCTGTCAAATGCTTTTTCAGCATCTATTGAGATGATCATATGGTCTTTCTCCTTGAGCTTGTTGATGTGATGTATCACATTTATTGGCTTTTGTATGTTGAACCATCCTTGCATCCCTGGGATGAGTCCCACTTGGTCATAGTGTATAATTTTTTCACTATGTTGCTGTATTCTAATTGCTAATATTTTGTTGAGGATTTTAGCATCTAGGTTCATCAAGGATACTGGCCCATAATTTTCTTTTTTTTGTTGTGTGTTTATCTGGTTTTGGTATCAGAGTTATGTTGGCCTCATAGAATGAATTTGGGAGAGTAGCATCTGTTTCAATTGTATGGAACAGTTTCATAAGAATTGCTATTAACTCCTCTTTAAAAGTTTGATAGAATTCAGCTGTAAAGCTGTCCAGACCTGGACTTTTTTTTTGTTGGAAGATTGCTAATTACTGCTTCAATCTCCTTGCTTGTTATCGGTCTGTTCAGGTTTTCTATCTCTTCTTGGTTCAGTCTTGGTAATTTATATGTGTCTAAAAACTTATCCATATCTTCCAGACTTTCAAATTTGTTGTCATACAGTTGTTTATAATAGTCCCTAATGATTCTTTGTATTTTGGTGGTGTCAGTTGTAATGTCTCCCTTTTCATTTTTGATTTTTGTTATTTGGGTCTTCTCTCTCCTTTTTTTTGTTAATCTAGCTAATGGTGTGTCTATTTTGTTTATCTTCTCGAAAAACCAACTTTTAGTTTTGTTGATCTTTTTTATTGTTTTTGGGGGGGTCTCTATTTCATTTAATTCTGCTCTGATCTTAATTATTTCTTTCTGTCTACTGCCTTTAGGTTTGGGTTGTTGTTTTTCAAGTTCTTTGAGGCATAGCATTAGGTCGTTTATTTGGAGTCTTTCCATTTTTTTGATATAAGCATTTACTGCTATAAATTTGCCTTTAGTACTGCTTTTGCAGTATCTGCCAAGTTTTGGTATGATGTAT